GACGGTGCTTCAAGGACAGTTGTGTTAAGTGCAAAGTAAAAAATCACAACTGCAGTCAGTGGGTGATCGTGGATGTTGCTGCGATCTTGGAAGATCTTTCTGATTTCGCTGTGATCGTACCGTAACAGAGGTTTAACTTAACAGATGTAGCTAAACTCGCTTTTCCAATGTGTCACTTTTGGTTTCTACTTACTTAAATTTCGACAACGATATCGGAACTTTTCTTCTTAGGAAATAAAACTACAAACGTACAAAACCCCAGATTTGTGCGTTTTTCTTCACATTTCCTTCGAATGTTTGCTAGATATATGTACCGATTATTGTTTAGAGATTGCGTAATCTTTTAAATAAGAAACCTTTGTTTGGATAAAGGCGGTTTCTTCAAACTGTCATTAACATGTTAAGATTAAAAGCTGCTTACAAATAATGCTATTAATGGGAAATAACTTTGATTTTCGAAAACTAAAAAAATAAACGGTATCAGCATTCTGACACATACTTTCTCCCACAAGTTTGTCTACAACCTTTATTATGTGTAAGCGGTGAGAGTAAATATACGGGAATGGGATTTGTACAATTTTGTTCAGAATTTAAAGGACTATAACATACAAAATTTTTATCAAAATTGTTCGAGCCATTTTCGGGAAAATCCGATTTTTCTGTTATTTTATGGGGGTTTTATGGGAAAATGACATAATTTACAATAACTTTTGAACCGTAATTTTTACAGAAATGGGATTTGTAACTTACCATTTTGTTCAGAATATAAAGGACTATAGCATACAACATTTTTATCAAAATCGTTCGAGCCATTTTTGGGAAAATCCGATTTTTCAGTTATTTTATAGGGTTTTATGGGAAAATTCCCATAAAAAATACAAATTTCTAAAAAACTATCAAAATTGTAACGACCATAACCTACTATGTTAAACAAAACAGGATTTTTTTTTCTAAAATACTATTTTTTGTTATTTTATGGGAAAATTACATATTTGACCATAACTTTTGAACCGTAATTTTTACAGAAATGGGATTTGTACCATTTTATTCAGAATTTAAAGGGCTACAACATACAAAATTGTTATCAAAATTGTTCGAGCCATTTTCGGGAAAATCCGATTTTTCTGTTATTTTATGGGGGTTTTATGGGAAAATGACATAGTTTACAATAACTTTTGAACCGTAATTTTTACAGAAATGGGATTTGTAACTTACCATTTTGTTCAGAATATAAAGGACTATAGCATACAACATTTTTATCAAAATCGTTCGAGCCATTTTTGGGAAAATCCGATTTTTCAGTTATTTTATAGGGTTTTATGGGAAAATTCCCATAAAAAATACAAATTTCTAAAAAAACTATCAAAATTGTAATGACCATAACCTACTATGTTAAACAAAACAGGATTTTCTTTTCTAAAATCCTATTTTTTGTTATTTTATGGGAAAATTACATATTTGACCATAACTTTTGAACCGTAATTTTTACAGAAATGGGATTTGTACCATTTTATTCAGAATTTAAAGGGCTACAACATACTAAATTTTTATCAAAATCGTTCGGGCCATTTTTGAGAAAATCCAATTTTTCCCGTTTTTTATGGGTTTTTATGGGAAAATCCCCATTAAAAATAAGAATTTCAAAAAAATGAAAAAAACGCCTGGAGATACCATGGATTAGAACCTTCATTCCAAATTTCATTGAAATCAGACCACAGGTGTAGTCTCTAGCTCTGTACACATCCAGACACACAGACACACACACACACACACACAGACATCACTTCGAAAACCACTTTTTTGGGTCCAGGGGGACCCAAAACGAATATATCCACTCAAAACTCAAACTCGAAAATTTTGACGAAAACAATACTTTCTCCATATACTATGGTATAGGGGGAGAAAGTAAAAAAAATTAAAACCAAAGGAGATTAATAACTTCGGTACTGCACCACATCAAGTGCAAGTTTTTTTTAGCAAACCATAGTGATTTTTCAAAGCTTTACGTTGTTTATGTTACATGTTACATGTTTTGTGGCCTGTGTATTTATTTATATATTTGCAAACAGATTAACACCTATAATACAGTTTGATTAGAAGGACAGTTTGAATTAGTCGTAAGTACTACAGTTATTTTCTCAAATGTAAACGTTGGTAGCAGTAAGAATCATTTTTACATACAAACACATCACTATTTTCACTATTTATTTATAAACACTGCACCTTATTGCTTATTAAATTTAATTGATGTCTTACTGTATAATTTTTAGCGTTTTCTGTCTGGACTCCAAAATGCTGTGTGGACTCAATTCTGTATTTGTGTGTGTATGTCTATTATTGGTAACGCATTAATGTCCTTATTTTTCGTGGAAAAGACGAGAGCACCATTGTTAATAGAAATTTCAACCCGAATGAAGTGTGCAGTAGTGAGGTTGAGGAAGTGTTTTAACAACTTTTAACCAGTGTGAAAAGTAACTTTCAATTACAGGCCTACCTTAGGGCTATGCCTCTTAGATCTATACTGTAAAGCAATTCCTTTCATCATTAGATATCAAATATGGACTAACACGATCGGGTGACATTTAATTGCGAAGCATTCGTTTTGGCTTTGAAACTGTCAGATATTGTATTTGAGAAGGTTTACCTATATGTATTCCTAAACAATTATAGTTTTGCCATCATATCTGGAAAAATGCACACTAAATATGCAAACCAACTCCTGTTCTGAATATTAGGTTTTAACTTACCACAAGATTCCCGTACGTAGAACGGGCAAACAGCTAGTGCTTATTAAACTTGTACATTTGTTTCTACATACATGTTATGTTTTCACTACAAGAAACAAATAAAATACTCTGTTCAGGAAATTCTGTGCATTATGTGAGAACCACAACAATAGTGTTTAAACCCGCGTTCACATTTTCCCGCTCACACAACGTGCATTTTTACTCGTTTGTTTACAATAAGAATAAATAATACACATTCTGTTTAAAACCTTTACGCAGTTGTCGATATTGTTTTCAAAACATGACCGCAGTATGAGCACAAGAGTGTTTCAATGCAATATATTCAACAAGCAAACAACCCAAGTCAACACAACTACAAACTAATCAACACCCTATGGAACAATGAAGGGTAGGCTCGTTTGGTCGCTGCTTTAAAAGATATTGCGGTTAATCAATATCAATATCATTCTCGGAGTTTAAATATATTTCTGTACTATAACTGCAACATTTGAGTTCTTCCTTGAGTTTGAAAGTTTGATTCTGCAAATAGTTTATTGTTTCATTCCGCTATATTTTTTCTTGATGGTATTATTTATGTTAATCTTGATTTGTTGGCTACTCATCATATTAATAAATTTATACACAATTTACAAAAAAAAATGTGTAGGTATATTTCGAGTTTACTTCTAAACCCATCGTCAGCCTCTGTTAACAACATAAGTGTGATATCTACATAATATAAACATATATAACAATTGTTTTCCTACTAACCTAATTTTTCAATAATTCTAACATGTTAATTTGTAAACAAACATTATAAATCGTAGTTTATTTACTTATGTTGTTAACAGAGGCTGACGATGGGTTTATAAGTAAACTCGAAATATACCTACACTTTTTTTTGTAAATTGTCTATAAATTTATTTATATGATGAGTAGCCAACAAATCAAGATTAACATAGTTTATTGTGTTTATTGTAGTAGAACTAGAATAGTAAAGAAAGTAAATTCTTTAACTTAATTATCTTTTGACATTGATTGAACTGTTATTAAATTAGCATGAGTGACACTATAGTTGTATATAATATTTTTAAATGCTATTTATACCTCATTGAATAATTAATTGATTTAAATTAACATTCACACCTACCAACGATCCTTGTCCAGTGTGAAAAATATCTATATTATTAAAAGAATTTGTTGGATTTTTGTGTGCAGCAAATCGACCCCTAAATATTTATTGTTATAGGCATATTGGGTATCAAATGAAAAAAATACATTCCTTGTAATATAATACTCAACTTAATTTCAGAAGGGAAATTATAGAAGCCTAATGATTCCTTTCTGAGGGTGTTGGATGCTATAACTGACATAGTGTGGAAACTGTTTTTATTCCAGCAAAGATTTTCTTACAGGGAATGGAGTTAATACAGTACCCAGCATACTGATTTTTCTCCGGATAGAACCGCGGTGACCGGGTGTTAGGCGAATACTTCAACCTTTCAGCTACCCAACCAGTCATTTTATTTTATCCATCCAAAAATATACTTAAGGTAAGAAAACAAACGTTAAAATTATAATGGCTTGCAATCAATAGTAGATTATAATTTCCACAACTTAAATTTTTTTTCGAAATTAAAAAAAAACGTAAAGTGATGCACTCAAACTTGAACATGGCATCGATTGAACAACATCCTATTATTAACTATCTTCAGACAACGAATTAACTACTAAAAATTTAAACTGTAAACAAATTGATGTCAACAGTAAATAAAAAACCGTGCTGTTTTGTAAAAGAAAAGTTCAAGGAGATACATCTTTTTATACAGAATAAAAAACCATAAACTTATTTTATTTTACAGTATGATGAAAAAAATAATAACTTTCATAAACATTGTTAAGCCTTGATGCAAGTTAAAAGCAAACAAATCTCGTATCCAAAACAGGACTAGATATACATGGTTCATCGTCCGGAATCAAAATCTTCTCCAAGTATAGGGTATTACTGGCAGATGCTGCGGGAAATGAGGGAATTAATTCTGCTTTCCAAAGATCAGTAATATAATCTTTTTAATACTTCAATCCTTCGGTTTTTAATGTTTGCTGAATTTTATTGGTATCATTAATGGTAAGAGTGTGTGATCGTATGAATATCAACATTGTAATGGAAAGGAAAGGTTAAAATTTAAAAATAGGTTGAATACAAATTTATTTAAACAATAAAATTTAAACTTATTTGTATATGTATATTTAGTAAAAACAATCTACATCGTTACCTAACGTTATTTTTCTATTCTGTTCAATGCAAATTTAACTTTAAGAAATAACATCCCAATTAAAAAAAATATGCATATACCATTTAAAATATGCATCATGTATTTGGACATTATTAATTTAGTAAATGGATCAATTTAAAATGAGAAAGTTTACTTAAATCCATTAGAACTACCATAGAATAGACGTTATTTGCCAAAGCGTCTTTCTTTCAATTAAGTGAATGAGTGAATGATTTATTACATTAAGTGTTCTACATAGTATAAATGTTTACAATTTTTACAATAACTATTAAGCTTTAAAAACAAACGTTATCAAGAAAACATAAAAAAATTACAAAGTTGTGAACTTGGTGTTGAAGGATTAAATAAAAACTAACAACACATTTCAAAAACTATCACAGTAACTTAAACGAAATAATAAAGTCATATAATTCATTCAATTATGTACTTATTAAATGAAACATGTCTACAACTACTGATCCATGTAGATGGGGTGTCTACACTTCAGTACCTACTAAAAGTCAACGGCACATCTTTTCTTAAGTACTAAGAACATTCTCTCATTTTATCCTGAGTTCTAGATTTACGCTCTGCCAGTCAAAACAGCTGATCTAGGCTCCAGTATGACCGACATGCCTCCCGCCGGAAGTGTGATGACAGTTCTGGGCTCAATTTTAGATGGAATCGGAACATTTGCGTCCAATCGGAACTGGAATCGCCTGAGAAGAGTCACCAGTGCCGTCTTGACCGTCACCTTGGCGAACCTCATACCTTCAACAATCAACAGTCAGCTGATCTCAATGTAATTATAATTTAGTCAATATCCAATAATCTATCATTGAATTTTGTCACTGCAATTAATTATGACTTCTCCTCCAATATCAAAAGCCGAAGCCTTTTAAGTGTATTTGATGCCTGTTAAAGTACAAGTGCCAAGTTCAATGTGGACAAATTAATATTTAACTTATGTTAGGGTATATTTTAAGGTTGGTGATTTACTCTGATTTTATACAAATGGCCAAGCAGATTACAGACTGTTCTACTTAGTCGTAATGATTTTAAAGTTAGGAAAATTACCCAAATGAAGAGAACACATCAATGAACTCTGCGTTCCCAGATATTCACATCCATGAAAATAGTCTACAACTGATCAATGACGATCGTTGGTATACAGAAGTATGTACAATACGGTTCCATGCACCCTGAGGTACAGACTGTCCAATTATGTATAGACATAGTATGATAATATGAACCTCATAGATAATTTAGGGCTGGCATACGAAATCCACAAAAATTGGAATCGACGAAAGGTACGGAATAAAATATCGTAAGCCACTCGTCCAAAATAGGTTTGCCAGACTCGTATGGTAATTCGGATAATCCCGGACTCGACTTCATCTCGCACGGGAACGACCACACTCCGTATGTCTGGTAAACACCTACTTTCACGAATAGTAACCTAAGTAATGTACTATTAACAGTTTTACTACAAGACAGGATTTGATCAGAAGAACAATGCAATAACCAAGATAATGTTTTAAAATCTCATACATCGTAAATACTGTAGTCTATGAGACAACGGCACCTTGTTATTTTCACCGAATACTTACCTATGCAGAAGCGTGGGCCTTCTCCAAATGGCATGTAGGTGTACTGTTTTATTTTCTCTCTGTTTTCTTTGCTAAATCTTTCTGGATTGAATTTTTCTGGTTCGGGAAAGAAAGTGGGATCGTTGTGAAGACCCTTGAAAACAAAATCAAATGAACCTTTAATACAGTTGCTTGTTAAATACTCAAGGTTAGAGGTAGAAGTGGTTGTGTTTTGTATGCAATTGTGTTTATGTTTTTCCTGTGTCAATTATCTGGTCAGATTCTACAAAAACAAATAACAAACCAGACGATAACAATGCAATCGACAACTACTTCAATAAGGTTACAATTAGTTGTGAGAACACTGTACAACAATGGCTCCAGTTGATTCTCTTGGAACAACTTTAGCCCTGCAACGCATATAGCAGCCATCTTCACTGAAGTATAAAGAAATAGTTATTTGTGTAACTAGTGGGCAAAGTGGCACTTTGCTGCACACGAGAGCAATGTTTACAAAACTTTGCTCATGTTTGGAATGATCACGAGTGCAGCAAAGGCCTTTTGCACTCGTGTTACACATTATATTTTTCCTACAGTCACTATAAAGCATATAAATAATTAGTCTTTCAAACACTATACAACACGTTTTTAGGTTCAGCTGGCAACACAAATGGTGCCGTAGAGAAAGTAGTACCCGTGGTCCGTATCACTCCGCTATTTTTCCTCGGCAAGAAATGTGCTCCGCGTTTTGAGAATATAGTTCCGTATGTTTTTGTAATTTGAAGTGGTTTCCGCGCCCAAAAAAATGCTTTAAAGGTATTTTCTTGTTTATTAAGATCGTAGGAATGTTTTAAAAACGTTTAAAAGAAAAGTCCAGAAAGTTCAGAAATACCGAAACTATAAACACGAAATGGTTAAATCGTAGTTATAAAAGTCAATCAGCTGCTCATAGTATTATTATCTTTAAGTGTTGCCAACCTATTTCCAAGCGTACACGGATTACGTGCATAATAGAACCACGCTGTTTTGTGTTGTTCCGTTGGAATCCTTATGTGTGGCAAAGTATAAACCGTACGACAAAGTATAAAACGTACGGCAAAGTATAAATATGCAGCAATTAGCAGCTTTCTGTACTATAAACAGTACGAGGAAGCCAACTTTGTCTGGTGACTGTAGGAAAAATATATTTTTGTACTGTATAAGGTTACAAAACCCACATTTGGCCATAAATACCCTGAAAATTATTTTTAATTTATTTTGGGGGGTGAGAGGTGGAGGGGGGGGCTAAATAAATTATTTACATTGACCATTTAATGAAAATAAACATCTATATCTATAAAAGAGGAACTATGTATGTATGTATGTGTGTATATATGTATATACGTTATGGACTCCGAAACCGCTCGACAGATTTTAATGAAACTTTCAGGCATTATTAAGCATCTTTCAAGGATGGTTCGAGTGAAGTATGGTGCAGATCGGTCAAAAGGGCTCTGCCCCAGAGGGTTTTAAGTGGGCCAATTTCAGTCTTTTTGATCAACAATGTTTACAAATAAATACAATTTAAAAGCAGATATTTACTTTCACCAACTGTTTTTTAGGATAGAATAATCACAACATTCTGTATTAGCATTAGTCATGATTTGAAATAGTGCCACAGTGTTTCTACAGAGTGCAGCACAGAAAACTATTTTACTTTTTAATGTAAGTCCAAATGTATTAAACCCCAATCGCAGCACACCTGTGCACTCAACAACGGTTAAATTCTCCAATGTTAAATATTAAAACCATAAAAACCTTTATCAAAGTATTATAAACAATTAAAGGGATGACAATGCCTTAAAATTTGTATCTTTCGTTCTATACCCACACAATCTAACATAAATTATTAAGTGAATAATAATCGTGCGTGCTATCACGGGTATTCGTCAAATAACTCTCAATTTGTCACTTGCCACCACATTACTGTAATTAAAAGAAAAAACTCCAATAATACTAATGCAAAACTTAATTCCACCGAAGCTGTGCAACGTTACCAGACTAACTAAATTACGTCAAAATTAATTAAAGCAAAAATTATCAGTGGTATGTTTAAGGGAAGAATACTGATGATATCATCCAAATTACCCTCTGAATTTAAGCAACTACAATTTCCTTAGTGTCTTGCTTTCGCAATCACCATTATAAGGCACTAGGGCAATCCCTGACTATCGTCAGTTTAAATGTAGAAAAAACATGCTTTTTCACACAGACAGATGTATTTTGTTAGCGCAGCAACGCGCGCCGGGTAACTGCTAGTAAATATTAAAAGAGTTCGTAAAAAAATCTCCAGTGCTGAAATAGTTTTAACTAAGTTTAAATTTCTACCTGTATGGAGATGAAGATCTGTGTTCCCGCCTCAATGGTGGTGTCAGCCTGAGGTACGTAGTAGTCGCGGGAACAAACACGATTGAGGAAGCCTAGAGGGGGATACTTGCGTAAGGTTTCTGAAAACCAAAACACAAATAATTAATAGTGCATTTCATAACTAGGGGACTCGGTGTGACGACCGAGGTAAAACAAGTCAGAGAATGAGGAAGGGCCGAAAAGACAATTTTGTCCCTGTGGTGAACTACATTTAGTGTTTTACTGCATTTTTTTAAGCTAACTGGCTAAATATTTAAGAAACTGAAATCTTTGGTACCTTAATAAAGCTTCTAAGATGGCTTCTATCTTTTCGTCCTGTTTTAAGAGAACAACTGTCACTGGTATAAAGATGCAACAAGTATTCCTTCGCCAACACAATAAATAAATCAAATTACTTCTGTTGTTTGCTTGAGTCAGTATTTATTGGCCAAATACTGGAGTATGGGAAAGTAAAATGAGTGCGGGAAAGTAAGTAAATGCATGAACTAACTACTTCGCATGCTATAATCAGTGTAAGAAAGCCCGATTTGACCGGTAACTGTAGGAAATCGAACTTTTGATTAACCGGGACTATTTCCCTCAGGGGACTAATTTTTAAAGCTAAACCCAAAATCATCTGGGGCCATCTACTCCATCTAATTTTTTCACCATGGGGAGAGAAAGTGTTTATGTATCCACAAAGCATGGATTGAATCCCAATGAAATTGTGACCAAGGAACTACGGTTACCGTCAATAACCATGTCCAAGTACGGCAGAGAGTTGATGCTATCGTATGTGATTGATGTAAGAGAGTCGACTTCCGTCAGCAGCGTGTGCAGCACTGACTTGTTCAGCGCGAGCTCGTACAGACAGAAACTCAGCGTCGCTGAAGTAGTCTCAGACCCAGCAAGGATAAACACGAAGGATTGAGCTGCTATCTCTTCATTGGTGAAGTTGTAGCCTTCCCCTGGAAATCAGGATATTAGTTTCAAAAGTCAGAAACTCAAAAGTCAAAAGTCTTCCTGACAGACAAATGAAGAATGCGATTCTATAATCTATCTATTTATTTACTTATTTAATACGCAAGCATGATTTTTGTGACAATTTCTCCTCCGAAACTACTGAACCGATTGACATGTTTTTGGTGTCATTGGAAAGAGCGTAACGTGAAGTTGTGCAGGAAACTTTCTTTTTAGGGAAATAATCAGAGAATGAGGCCCTGGGGCCCTTTAAAGTTTTGTATTTCTCCATAAGATCAACACAGGAAACAAAAATTGTTATGCAACTCCAGCTGTTGCCAGAAATTAAAATCGAGAAGAAGAACATATGTTAATTTTAAACAGTCAATAAGTTTGCTAATTTTACAGTTTGCTACAAACATTTACTGACTTGGTTGAAATGAAATATTTACTATTTGAATTCAGGTTGGCGTAAATATTACAATAGAAAAAAGCGAGAGAGCCTGGATAAATTGATATATTCTGTTATGTACATCTTGAATATTTCCATAATCTTTGGGTCGAATCTTTTAAAGTCATCAGAAATTATGAACGTTATTCCTTTTAAAATAACGCCTCTAATAGGTACTTAGAAATTGCTCGAATTCAAGCAACAGGGACACTAGTACTTATTTAATACGCAAGCAGGATTTTTGTGACAATTACTCCTCCGAAACTACTGAACCGATTGTCATGTGTTTGGTGTCATTGGAAAGAGCGTAGCGTGAAGTTGTGCAGGAAACTTTTTTTAGGGAAATAATGAGAGAGTGAGGCCCTAGGGCCCTTTAAAGTTTCGTATTTCTCCATAAGATTAACATTGGAAACAAAAATTGTTATGAAACTCCAGCTGTTGTCAGAAATCAAAAGTGAGAAGAAGAGCATAGGTTAATCCTAAACAGTCAATAAGTTTGCTAATATAGTATTATAACAGTTTGCTACAAATATTTACTTAGCAATTGCTCGAATTCGAGCAACAGGGACACTAGTTACTCTAAATTTACAAAAAACCTTTCCCCCAAATCTTCTCTTATATTAATAAGTGAGGGCTGTTTTTTGTGAACAAAACTCCTCCTTTATTTCTGGACCGATTTGAACGTTTGAGGTGTCAAATAATTCGTCTCAATTCGTAGTTTTGCATAAAGGTTTTAGAATTTTAAAACTCTTACCCTTAAGGGCACGAGACGCTCTCAAATGTCACATTTTCCCCCATAAGAATTACATTGAAAACAAATTTAAAATCAAAAACAGCTGTATATAAAATGAAACTCACCAGCTTTTTGGGAGTAAATATTGATGTTTGTAATATTTAGGAGGTTATAGACAAATCTAAACAGTCAATCAGTTTTTTTGGAAGAACAGACAATTTCTTGAGTTTAAAGGAGAAATATTGAAAACAGGAGGAGGAGACAATTAATAGGAAATCTTATGCGTATGAGAACATTAGAGGAGAGGCCTGGTCTCACAGTAAGGAATCCAGGTACACAATCATCATTTTTGCCAGTTATGCTAAGCAACTTATTTTGTAAGTAAAAAAAAAAATGGAAGAATATACACATCATGTTGTCAGTTGTCACAGTGGTAAAGTAAGCCTACCTCAAGTCAGATCAAATAAATACATGCAAGAAATGTTTACTGGTAACAGCTTTAAGTCGGGAAACATTTGTAGAAAACACTAAAAAATAAGGCCGGGTCCAAAAAATGCTAAAATATTTTTACAAGAAGCGTTTATTATTTCAAAGCGCTATTAAATAGTAGCTAGTATTTAGTTAGCTAGTAGTATAGTAGTTAGTATTTCAATTAGTTACATAAGCATTTTGTCGGATCTTTTAAACTCATCGAAAATTATGACTGTTATTACTGTAGTTTTAAAATAACTTCTGTATAAACCGGTACTTGACAATTGCTCGATTTCGAGCAACAGGTGCACTAGTTTACAATGAATGAGAGAAAACATATATTCATCAAAGCACTCAATTTAATCGCTTATGAAACTTGTCTAACATTATAAAATATGAAGAGAAGTTTACTTACATTATCATAAAATTTCATAATCTAGTGAGGATAATTCAAATAATATTACCATAGTTAATTGTGTAATCCTTTTTAAAGATAATTTAAAGGATTTATCATTATAATTAACCTGTGTTAATTCAGCCTAATATATGTGCATAATCTCACCTTCCTCATTCGTGAGCCCAGACTCCCTCAGCTGTAAAAGCAGTTGAAGGTAGTCGTTCCTGACTACATGGTGTGTCTCTCGGTACTTGATTGTCTCAGAGACCATCCCAAGGAAGAAGTCTGACACAACTTTTGGCGTCACTCGCGCATCAAGCATCTTAGCAAGGTTCTCATTGAATGCCAACATGAACGCTGCAAACCTCTCCACCGTAGGCTCCAACATCCTATAGACCATCTTCACAAAGGAGGAGTCGTCGTTCTTCAGAGCGTCACTATCCAGTCCAAACCCAATATTGGCTATCACAGCCAGTCCGTACCTAGAGAATGCCTTTAAAACATCCACAACCTTATCCTGGGACATTTTAGTTTCAACGTAGGTGTTCATTTCCTCCGCGCAGTTCACAATTGTGTCGAACATGCCTTTGATCTTCCCCGATGTGAAGGTCGGAGTAATCTTGACTCGAAGAGGTTTCCATTCTTTGCCGTCCAGAGCGAACAAGTGAGCTGACAAAGGATCTTTCTGTTTATTGTAGTAAACACCTCTATCGGCAAACACGTCAAAGTCCTTGACCAGAATGTTCTTTATTATTTCAGGGTCAGCTATGAGGATTTGTTTTTTCCAAAAGGAGTAAAAGCCCACTAATTTGTGTTTTTTGTATTTGAAGTAAACGTCAGATATAACTGTTGCGAAAGATTTCTTCAAAAAAGCGCATGAATAGAAACTCCCAAAAGGGAAGGTTGGTTTGTCGTAAGGGATGTTTCTTTTTTCAAAGTATGCGTAAAGGGATTTGACGAATAGGTAGAAAATGAATATCAAAGTTACGAAAACGAAACTTAATGAAAGCAACGATGTCGTTAAAATGCCCGCCATTGGACAGAAATTCTGAAACAGAAAATATGATTTCATGGAATTGAATTTTACAAAAATCTTATACCTTATAAGGTTTTCTTTCACTGTATGTGGCAGATATTAATAGATACTAGTGGTTACCTCGTGGTCGAAAACTCGATCAAAAATATATATTTTGCAAACTTCTCTATTTTCACCCCAAATATAACATGTAATTTTTAAATTCAATTTTAGAAATGCAAACACTTAAAACAAGAGTTGGTGCAGTTACGTTTTTTTACTGTACACACTAATATTGATTATTTCTAACATACAGCGTACACGTTACAAAAGCAACGATACCATTTTACAAACATTATTGCTAAAAGACGTGATTTTATACATAAATCGACATCCGATTGCAAGGTTGATTGCTAAGTCTGATAAATAATCTCTTCCCAATGAAGAAGTATGTTAGTAGTCATAAAACTTGACAATAATACAGGTTTCCAAATAAGAAAATTTCATACTTTCAACTCTGACAATCTAAGATACTTGTATTTAATCAATACAACTAAATGGTTTTTTACATTATATGTTTATTCTAGATGTTCCAATTCAAGTGGATCTGAAGGAGTTTTGAACTTCTCGTCACATTTTACTCTCAGATTACCATATTGTCCAGTTAACTCTCAGTTCTGTCTAAACTCAAGTGTCAAATTAATACGACGGATTTGATTATTCCATTTAGACCGGTCAGAGTTAAATGATGACTAAATGAATTGTTTCTAATTCTCTCGAGATTGTACCATCACATCATTGTAACCAAAGCGTCCTGGTCAATCAAACTTTGTAAATGATAATGTAAACTTTGTATTGAACATTACCATAGGTAAAGAACACATCAATATCAGTCAGTAGCAAATATAAATATTGCAACAATCCTATACATTCATATGTTAATAATATTAGCCTACTTGGCTTAAATGCGTGAGTTGCGATTTCAATTGAGTTGACAAAGTTTAGCTTAACAAATATCAAGTTTAACAACGCAATTTTAACAATAAGCTAAACCAACAGAATGCGTTCTTGGTCTTACCGATATTTTTAGACTTTGGGGAAAAGATTCCCGAACTCTTGTGATGTTCTCATCCTTACATACAGACTTTGATCTCCTAGGAGATTTATTATTGAAAACAGATCCTTTAGTTCTTAAATTGGACACCCACCTATAGATAGCATTCCTAGAGAAAACCGCATTATGATGACCGGCGTCAAAATGATTTCGTAACAACCACTGAGCTACAATCACAGACTCATTATTTTTTAAACAGTTTTCTAGGCAAAATGCACGGTTTTGTACTGTCCAACGGTCCACGATTACTCAAATGGCACGAAATCTTTGGTTGTTTAATACAACAATGAAAGTTCTACACGTATTAATAACTAGAGTCGGGACCACATAAGTTTGCAGTTGAGGTAGGAGCCTATTTACCATATGGGTTTGAATGAACCAATGAGAACCGTGCGGTGTTGCCAAATCTAATAATACCAGCTGATTTGAAAATATTGCTTAGTATATTTTATTAGTGCGATGTGGCAACGTTGCACTAGCCTTGTCTTGTGATTGGCTGCCGCCAACTGCAAACTTACGTGGTCCCGACTCTAATTAAAAAATGATCCGTTATTTATGGACCAACCTTTTCTCTAGGTGTACAATGCAGTTATCTGCTTGCAATATTGAGCGGAGCAAGCATATTTATATAAAATCATCCAAAGTCAATCGGTTTTACTTTAAGTTAAACATGATGTCTACTCGCAGTATCCAAATTCAATGGTCCACTTCTTGTAACCATTTTGTCATATTCTAAGTCATTCACCCTTTCAACTCCTAATATAATCAAAATATATCAATCTTGATGATTTATGGTGACAAAAAACATGTTTTGCTTAAGAAATGCATTAAAAACGGGGGTATTTACATTTTTTATTTGGATGCAACTTTTGGCTGCCTTTTTGAGTATTTTCAAGAAATGCATGGTATCAATTCGTAGGAAATTTAATTATCTCTCAGTATACCACCCTCCACTTTGGTCGATTTCCTCACCATTAAAAAGTTATTGGCAAAAAAAAGATAACCAACCTCAAAATTTATAGTAGTGAGAAAATACAGAGTTGGTGATATTTTTTAAACTTTATACAATTAAATCTAGATTTATACTGGACCGATTTGTTAATTAATGGGTTATTGGAAAACCTAACTTATATAGATTTGCAAATAATTATAAAAGTGTAACTGTATTAAATACTTGTGGCCCCCCAATTATTTTTTTTACTTTTCCCTAAAAGTAAAAAAATAAAAACCAATTTTTCAAGTTTCTGTTTTCAAGTTTCAATTTGTAGCCAAATTTTGGCTGCCTTTATAAAGGATTGTCATGAAATTCATAGTAGTAATTTGTAGGAAATTCTATTCTCTTTCAAAATATCGCATCCACTTTGTTCCACTTGGATATACAGTTCTACTTGACAGATTTTATTAAATAATATGTCAATGAAAAGCTTCATCCACGTAGATTTGCTAATAATTATAAAAGTTTTATTTTAGCAATGATTTATGGCAGTACTGTAATGGGTTTGCTGGTATGCATCTAGGCTTAATCATATAAAAAAAATGTGTTGATAATTTAACAGCTGATTTTTTTATTGCTATTTCATTAATTTTTATTTGTTTGCATGTTGTTGTTCACAATTTGTATTTGTCTCAAAGTGTGTTCCTTACGTCATGTGTGTGTTTCTAAGGTACTTAACCTGTACCAATAATATTAGTGAGTTTAAATGGTGCATGCATTTCATAGCTGTTATTTCCTAGAGACGGTTTATAGACAAAACTGGCTCTGTTGCTAGTGATAATCTAAATTTAAAAAGGCGCCCTCACTGACTCACTGACTCACTCACTCACTCACTCACTCACTCATCACTAATTCTCCCACTTCCCATTTACCTAGGAGGCTGAAATTCGGTACACCGATTCTTTGGGCATTAAATAGGAAAACTAAGTAGTTTTTATTCCGATCGGGCTTTCGGGCTCCGCCCCAGTGGCTCTGGAGTTTCCCATGTTAACCTTATGATTTTTCATATTTAAATGGAATTAATGAATCTTAACAGCTGTTTCAATTAAACAAGTTGGTTCTGTTCTATGATGTTCAATAGCATTAAAGTTACAAGGGATTACCAACAGGGTGCAGCACTATTATTTCTTTTACATTTATGACAACAGCTAATTTGCAACCAAAAGGTGAGTGAGCGTAGCGAACGAACTTCAACCTGGAGGCGAGTTGGCATAGCGAACGAGCTAACCTGAAGGCAAGTGAGCGCAGCGAACGAGCTCCAACCTAAAGGTGAGTGAGCGTTGCGAACGAATTTCAACCAGGACGTGATTGAGCCATGCGAATACTTATGAAGTTAAACGGGGCAAAGCCCGCGGGTACAGCTAGTAAAATATAAACTGTAAACATGAATCCACTTACCACAGCAACACTAGAGATACTGAAGTTATTCCGAACAGATTGTTTCTAAACAACAATGACTGGCAGTTTCTCTACCAGCTGATTGGATAATTGATATTTGTTTACGACTGTAATTGCCTCAGGAGACATAACAGAGTTGTAATCTGTGTGGGAGAGAGAGAGAGAGAGAGAGGGGGGGGGAGGGAGGTTATGAGACCAATGCGTATTGGGAACCAATGATTCAAATAACGGTTAGCAGTTTAATACATATAAACAATTACTAAACTTATTCTCTATAAGAATGACATTGGAATTATTTATGGGGTTTCGGAATTTTTAGTACCATAATTTTTATATCAACGCTTCAAAAATGAAATCAGTATGTTTTTTAAGCTCTACAAAATATGTTAAAATCTGTGGCAAAAATAGGAAACCTTATTTCACCATAAAACACTGTCTGATTATGCTGGCTCGCACCCATGAGGTCTAGCCCGTAACCGTGATCACCTTATTTTAGGCTAATCCTAGAAGGTGGCACCATTATAATAGATAAAATCAATGGGCGATTAAGGGGATTTTAGACCAGGACCTCGGTAGGCTATCTGAACCTGCAATCCACCATGAATTTTCATTTGGTTACTACAAAAATTGATTGATGTGCTAAACTTATTATTTTTTTTTCCCACAAGGTTCTCTCTGTCATAAATTGATAAGCTGCGGCTACAATAAACGTGTGGCTAATTTTGTTGTTGGTGATTTGAATTTTTATGCTGTTTGATATTATCAGAAAGAGCCATTTGGAACTGGGCTATTTCGGAGGTGACATACTGATCCAGTAAACAATAGACAAGTCTTTCAGAAAATACACAGTTGTAAAAGGGATAGGCCTACATAAAATCAGACGATACCACAGCTTATTTAGTAAACATTAAAATTTTCCTCTTTATCTCGATCCGAAATTTCACTTAAAACCAAACTTGCAAAAATGCAAAATACAATTCTCTAGGATATAATTACTTACTATATTATTCTAAGTTGTGTCGCAATATGTTCACTAAACCAACTCGAAACAATGCTTGGCTAAAGGTTCATAGAGAATATCCTGTCACGCATTCGGCTGCAGTGATAAACATGTAATTTATTGTGAAACAGCCATTTACTGGAGTGTATAATTATGCAGTTATAACGTGCAATGGATTTCTATGTAGATTGTAGAACTTAGTTACACAATCTACATTTAACTAGTGAACCTGTTGCTCGAAATCGAGCAATTGTCAAGTACCTGTATAACTGGAGTTATTGTAAGACTAATAACGGTCACAATTATCGATGAGTTTAAAACATCCAACTAAAAGATTATATAACTAATGGTAATACTCGAGCTGATAATAACAGTTCGTCATAATGAGCATTTCTTGTAAATATTTTATCATTTTTTAGAATCTGACCTTGTTTTTTTAGTGTTTTCTTAACTTAATATGACATCAAACTTAAGACTTTCTCTGTATTATTTGATCAGTGGTTACCATGCGATTCTTTTTCCTTTGTAATGTGTTTAGGTAATGGCTTGATTTTAACAGATCGATGGCTATGATTCGTTTTTTTGATTGAATTTACGTCGTTGTTTTGTAACCATTATGGCAACCCATAAGACTCATGGTAAAGTTTAAAAACTTGGAGTTACTTTTAAATTATATAGGCATTATCAAAACTCAAAATTGGTTTTGTCTAAGCCATCCAAATATTTGACAAAACAACCTTGGTAAATTTGGCTAAAATATGTTCAGCGGTTATTGAGATTATGTGTTATAAAGTTTGCATTGAAATTGATCCTAAAGAGCTTCACTTCGTTCCGCTCAATAAAAATATAAGACAATTATAAAAAAAAAATTCTAGTATACTAAGAGAAGAGCCCCAACGTATGTCGCGTAGAAGGTAGAAACAGACTGCGGACCTGTCAACTTGATTTATCATCCTTCTGCGGCTTACATACGCTTACGAATGAATTAAGTTTCTTTTCTTAAATCTATTCAGCATTATATTTTTACAGATAATTTCCACAATCTGTAGCTTATTGTAAAACTGTTTGAAGACGAAAGAAAACTGTAATGCGAGATCGAGTATATTTCATGCGGAGGAGTTACGTCGAAGTCAATCTTCCTTCAAACCACATCAAGGAAAGGATTCTCTAGTTTCCCAACAGCTGTTATCATCCCTTTAATGATTTAAAATAACTAAATATGTTGTTCCAGTTTGTGCAACCAACTGTGGTGAAAATTTATTAAGCTACCTAAACAATTTATAAGTACGAGGTAGATGAAACGATATGATTCAAATTAGAAAATGTATCCTATGAGTGTATTTAATTATAACCTTCCTAATGTTAAAATCCGTATACAAACACTGGAGTGATTATGTCATTGTAACCAGGAGTGAGAGTGTTTACAGGCAAAGGCACCAATGTTTACAATACAGTGTGTTACAAATACAGTGTTTTAAATTTCATAAAATGCATAAGGCCCTATAAAAACCCCTAATGAAGAGTTAAATGCGGGACATTTGGCGGCAAACCAGAGCAGAGCTGCCAACCTGACAAGACCAGCGCTGCCAACCCTCTCTATTAACCTGACATTAACTTCTTTAATGGCAGGAAAATTATCAACCTCCTTTTATATCATACATTTAGTTTAATCTAGTGACTGCCACATGCTTTTTCGAAAGTTTTGCTGCTGATAAATGGCTAATATATTATCTGCTGATAGTATACTGCATTTTTTTACATTTAAGCACTTGATGACCTGTGAATTATTATACGCCTTAAATTATTACATCTTATTTTTATACCAGCTGAGAATACGCTACATACAGTAGTATTACGTTTTCCAAAGTGGTACTTAGAAGATATAGCAAAGTCTTTCTCAACAAACGCATAGTAAATACTAAATCTGAAGATGACAATATAATTAAGGCTTTTTTGAGTCTTTGTGAAAATTTCGAAAGATTTGAGTAGGATCGTGATTTCCTACGAGGGTTAATGGATTTTCCAAGATATAGGACAATAGATACACGTTTTTATCGTGTTTTATGACTTTTAGTGATTTGTTCAACAGGGTCAGTTCTTCCCGCTTGGAGGATCTTTCCATTTTTGTTTTCTTGATATATGGACCTACAGGTTATGGTGGGTTCCAAACCACAGTGTGACATATCATCAGACACTTAAGCTATTAGAGAATGGTGGTATCCAACCCGGACTCTGGACAAAATTCCCTTGGTCTACCATATAAAAAATATGCCCCCACAATAGGCACATTATCTGGAGAGAATGTGGATGACATTTTTATGAACTTGCAATCGCTAATAGTACTGTGTTGAATGGTAGTTTGCCCCAAAGATAGGTTACTGCACAAATCCGAAACGTCGGTCACTATATTTGGCAATTCAACAGGGTGGTCACCTCCCAAACACAAGGATTGGACGATACTAGCCCTAATTACCTGTTAATATTTTGGATGAGTGTACTTTTCCATTCAATAAATAAGGTCACAACAAAAGCACTTCACGTCCTGAATTTTAAATAACACGATTGTTTTACATACCCAAATACGTAAAACAGTCGACAGTGATGCTGGGAAATGTCACAAACATGAATACTAATTAAAACTTTGTAACAGTTGAGTGATGAACTTTGCCAATCAGCAAAACAGGTTATCATCTGATACATATATCGCCCCCGGCTACAGGCAGGCGCGCCGTTGCAACCGTTGCAACTCCCTGTTGTCACAACGGTTTTATTTATAGATTTTCATTTAAAGAAAACTATTTGCCATATCATACTATTCTGTAACAGCTTCGCTTTTATTTTCTAAATTGCTGAATCGTTTCGATTATGTTTTATTTTAGTTTTTGCTGTTGTTTGGGCTGTAAAGTCTTGTGTGTGTTATAATTTTTCAGATACTGAATGAAATATGAAAATTGACGAAGTTCAATACACAGCCTCCATTATTTATTTATTTTCTGTCCCACTTTCTCATCCTTGGACGCTAGTCATGTCTATACCGGAACAGTTTTGCACATTACTTCAGGCTAGTCCTAGAGGGTAGCGATATTATCACATAGGTAAAATCCATCGGTGATTTGCAGGATTTGAACCCGGACCTCGGACACCGATGCCCCGCGCTCTACCACTACACCAGCTTACTCCCCAGCCTCCATTTAAATGAAACATATATAAGTATTGAAAAATCTTTGTTTAATACAAGACACAACCTGGAAATGTTCCGCACGGGCTTGAGAGTTTACACGTTGTTCTTTTGGAGATAAAGTTGTATTATGTTTCTAAGTATCAAATAAAAATGCTTCTAGAAGCTGTTAACCGTGGCAAAATTTATTTGTTAAAAAATAAGATTTTTTATTTTCGCTCATTTTAAATCGGATTTTATAAGACATAAAACGTCCCTCGAGATAAAACATGGTTACCATATTCTACAAAAAAATATATATATTTTATAGAAGAGAAATGACAAATTGACTATACAATATTACAAGTACCATTTGTCACTATAGCATGATGGAGTGCTCGCATTTTAAACGTCTGTGATAGTTTCATCCAAACGGGGTGATCTATAATGACACTGTGTGTAAACTCAAACATAGCCTTAGGACGTTCAGCGGTTTCTCAACACTTCAATTCTGTTCCCCTCTGACAAATCAATCCCTCCTCTTATAACAATGCATAATTTTGCCTTAAAAAATCCCGAAATTTTTATTTTTACTAAAGATTGATTTATTCTTAAGGCTAAAGCCCAGACACATTAGAGTTGTAACACATATTAAGCTTTAAGGTATGGTCATCAGTGTTAAAACAATTTGTTGATTTAAGTACAAAGAAAATGAAGTGTGATGATGTATATAATAGGTTCCAAGTCTAAAAATTGGCTTTTCCTTCAAAATCCCATGAAATTACATATGCCTAACAACTACTAGTTTTATAGTATTATAAAGTCATACACACACAGTAACATTTGCTCTAAAACAAGAGAAAATGCCATAGACGACTTAAATGCACTCGAACATAAAATTAGTTGTCTACTCCTTTAATCCAT